ATTTTTATTATATAATTATATATATATATATATATATTATTTTTTAATTAAATATATAAAAAATATATATAATTTTTTATTAATTAAATAAAAATATTTATATAGATATATATATATATATATATTAATTATTAATAATATTTTAAATAAAATAATTTTAAACAAAAAAATATTATAATAAAAATAAAATAAAAAATAATAATAATAATGGTTTTTTTCATAAAATTATAAAACATTAATCTAAACAATGATTCTAATAATAATTCTAACAATATTTTAAATTCAAAAACAAACCAACCTACAAGCCCATAATAATAATAAATAATAAAAAAGCATCAAAAAACTTATTCTTTTTAATTATAAACTTCTAATTAGACTAAAAAATCATTTTTAACTAAATCAACAGTAGATTCTAACTATCTTATATAATAATAATATCCAACAGAAAATATAAAAACTTTTTCATCAAAAATTAATAAATTTTTTGATATTATATCAAATTAGCAACGCTCGTAAACATCTGGATTATCTCATTTTAAATAAAATAAAAAATTTAATAATTTTACTTTAATTAATGAAAACTAACTATTGAGTGACGAAAATTAAATATTTAAAAAAAAAATTAAATATTACACTTAATTTAAAAAAAGACCTCATACAGCTCATATAAAATCAAATTTTACTAGTTCTATAATTACTTAAGAATTTTAATAATAACTTGACCATAATATTAAGAAAATTTAAAATGCTAAAGATAAACTTGATAATGCTTTGGAAAATATTTATCAAGATAATAAAGCTAAAGTAGAATATTCAAAAATCTAAATTTAAACTGAAATTAAAAAAGAATAAGGATTATATAGTAATTAATATGTATATATAATTACAAAGATTATAACTATTTATTTATATTTATAATAAAAAAATAGAAATTGATTAACCGATATAATAATTCCATTTTGAAAAATTTTAATTTGTATATTTTAAAATTTCTATTAAAAATAAGAGATAACCTTTAGTTATTTGTAAAAAAAAAGAAAATATAGAAAAATTAAAATATTCTCAATATAGTATTAAATTAATTAGAAGGTCCTCGAAAATATTAATTAAAAACAGTTTTATCAACCACTAATCAAAATCCAAATATATTCAATAGTAACTATATATATGAAAATCGTCATGTAATAAGATTTAGCGAATAATCGTAAACAATTTTTTTCAGTTCTAATTATTTATATATGTGTTTGACTTTGGATTAATCAATGAAAATGCTTATTAGATTAAAATTTGGAGGAGTTTTAAATAAAAATAATGAAAAGTAAAAGTCTTTAGTTTTAATCTAAAAAAATCTAAAAAAAGAGGAGATTAAAAATAATTATATAGATGATAAAACATTAAACGAAAAAATATGTATTTTTTTTTATTTTTTATTTTTTTTAATATTAAAATTATTTTATTTACAAGAATAAATTTTACAAAAGCGAAAAGCAAAATTGGAAATTAATTATAGTGGATTAGAATATATGAAATATAATAAAAAAATCTTGAATTAAAGGGTTAATTTTTAAGAAAAGCTTTAAGACCATAAATAGCAAATACAAAATGTTCTATAGAATAAAAGAATAATAGATTCTTAAAAAAAATCCTCTTTAGTAAATAATATAATGCTAAATGATAAAAAAAGATTAATTACAAAAATCATAAGACTATATAGTTAGATGAAATAAAAAACTATAGTATTTTAAAAACACTGGTTTTAAATAATTTATATAGCTAAAATATATAATAATTTTAAGCATTTTAAAAAAGTAAAATATATATTTTTTTAAAAAAAATTATATTCTATTTTAAAAGCAAAATTAATAAAAATAAGCTTTTATTTTTTATATAAAAAAATTGTTTAAAAAAACTCAAAAAAGTTTACAAATAAATGTTAAAAATTAAGGAAAAAATAAAAAATAAAGGACCTTAGTTAAATCTAAAATGTTAAATATATATTTATATTAAGTTTTTTTAAAAATAAAATAAAATAAAGGCTAATAAATATCATTTCTAATTATCTAAAATAAAAAAATAAAGAAAAATCTAAATAAATTATATTTAAGTTTATCTAAAATTTTAATGAATTAAAGTAAATAGCACAAAAATTTATAGATAAAAAGGAGTTTGGTTTTCAAAAATAAATAAATATATTTTTTTAAAATAAAAAAAAAAAGTTATCAAGCTAGAAACTAAATGGATTAATTATTTTTAAAAAACGAAATAATTTTAAGTAGATGTAAGGAAATTATGGAATTAAAGCTATGATTTTTTTTTGAATCAAATATTTAAAGGTATTATAAGAAGTTTAATATTTATTTTTTATTTATAATTATTTTAATTATATACATCTTTTATTTGTATAGTATGTTGTTAGAATAATTATGATAAATATCTAAGATGTAAACAAAAATAAAATAAAACTTAATAGAAAATCGATATTTATTTACAAAACGAATTAATATATAACTTTTTCTAAGAAAAACTTAAACAATGGAAAATATTATTTAACAATTATAGAAATAAGAGGGGTTAATTTTATAATTCAAAAGTTTACTTATATATATATATATATAATTATATTTTATTTTATTAATAAAAAAAGCTTATTTTTTAAGAATAAAATGTTAAAAATTAAAATAAATATGATCTAAATAAAAGTATCCCTTAATAATATAATACTATATATTAATATAGTAAATTTAACGCTGGTGATATATTATTAGAATGCCCAATTTTATTTTAGAAAATAACAGAAATAGAACTTTATAATATTATAAAAAAATATATGATTATAAAGTAAATAATTCCAGAAAAAATATATTTCGAATGAAAAAATTCATAAGAATAAATTATTAATTAAAAAAATAAAGATAAAATTTGTTATAAAAATATATATTACTTTTTTATATATTTTTTTATTTTTTTAAAAAACTTAATCAAAAAAATAAAGGTTATGTTTTAAAAAAAAATATATAAAATAAAAAAAAAAAGGTATAAAATTAATATATAAAATTTTAAATCTATATTTTTATACTTTTTTAAATTTAAGAAGAATATACACAAATTATTAAATAAAATATTTATAAATTTTTAATAAAATTTAGAATTAAAAAAAAAAAGGAAAAGCTTTCATTTTCATAAAAAAAAAAAATGAATTATGTATATATATTATGTGTGTATATTTAATTAAAAAATGTATCATTCTTTTATTATATTAGGATAAAAATAATGATTTTTTTCTAAAATTTAATTTTATTATTAATCACTTTGTTCTATATTCTTCTCTTTATCCTAATAATTTTATATATTATCGATATCCTATTATTTTAACCCAAAATTACTATTAAAAACCACAAATTTATCCTTATAGATATCAGTATCCGGTAAGAAAATATACTATTATTCATTTTAAAAGTTATTACAATGTTATGTACTTAGTCTATACTTAACAGTATGTTCTCTTGGCATAATATCCAACCTTTTAAAATTTTACCCATTTTATTATTATTAAAATAACTACATGACCTAATCATGGCTTTCATCTGTATCAGAATTCGAAGAAATATCATCTTGATCATTTAACTTATTATTACTTTTTAAATAATTTAATTTATTCTGCATTTATTAATTGTAATTTTTCCAACTTTTAAAACACATCTAGACAAAAAGTCTTATAACTAAAGGATTAACTCCTTATTACCTTTATTTTGAGACTTTTTTTCTTACAATTTACATAGATTTTTTTTTTAAATTAGCTAATTTTTTCAGTGTCTTGTTTTCTTCTTTTCTAATTATATTTTAAGCTCTTATATATTTCTCAACTTAATCACTATTTTTATTGTTTTCTAAATAAAAAATTTTATCCTATAAAGCAAATTTCTATACGAAAAACATCAATTCGTTAAAATATATATACCCTTCATAATCGCAAGATATATTCATTTACATTATTTATTTTTCTGCAAATTATTTTTAAACAGCAAGAAATTTCTATAGTTTTTCCTCCATTTCTTGGCTTGAAATATCTTTAAAATTCTCCTTTATTTCGTCCTAAATCCTTTTTTTTTTTGCCTAAAAATCAAATCCGAAAGGCTCTTGTAAACACATATAAAAATCTGTTAAAGACCTTTCATTTATTTTAATTCCGTGTGTTTCTTTGGTTTTATCTACCCAAACTTTCTTAAAATTCTCTTCAAAAGCCTAAAACTCATTAAGTGGATTTTACTCATTAATATAATTTTATTCAAATTAATCAACAATAATTAAAATGAACAAATTCATCATCACATACTAAACAATAATTATAAAAAAAACAAAAAAAATAATATTAATCGAACTCCCATATTTAATAGTATCAAACATATAATACATCCAATTCTCTCCAGTACTACAAACAAATAAGAGATTAATACTCTAATGAAAGTTACTAAAATTCTACTCTTTATTAATCCATTTTCCTTACGTAATATCCTAAAAAAGGAACACTGCTAGTATAGAGAAAATAAAATAAACCAAAAAAAGCAATGCGCTAACATTTAATAATGACGGCAACGAATAAATTGCCGTCTAAATAAGTTTTTGTAAATTTTAAAAATTTTTAATTAATCTCAAAAGCCTAGTGACTCTCAAAAGTCGAAAAACTCTGGCAATTTAAGGTTCTGCTCTTATAAACGAAGAAAATTATTTTCCTGTTACATCCATTGTAATATCCAGTATAGAAGTTGATACTACAAAAAAATCAAATTAATTCCATCCTTTAAAAAAATACCCTCGAGGGCCGTATGCAGTCATTTTTATTATACATTCAAATATAAATACAGAGGTGAAAAATAAATTTATATTAGATAGTATTTAATTATATTCTAAATTAGATGTGTCATATCTCATTGCCATAACTATAATATTAGAAATTATACAAAACATTATAAATGAGTCTAAATAAGTTGATTCACATAAATTCCACATTTTTTTTCTCAAAAAATTATCTGGAGGTTTCAATGCAGCATAATCAGGAGTAGATTTTACCAAAAGACGTTATAATTCAATCCATTAAGCCTATTCATTTGTTAGATATTTGTTTTTGGACTTCTAAGAGGCTATATTGTAGTTAAATGATAAAATAGCGACGAAAAGATTCATTAAAAATAACGATCCAATAAATATAAATACTATAAAATATATTAAAAATGAAGTGTTAGCATTTTTAACGGGACCATTCTCATCTCCATCTATGAAATACCATACATAATCTGACCATCCTTCTAATGTTGATAAAATAAATAATGTCAACATACCAGAACCTATATTATCAAAATTAAGATAATAAGTATTCCATTATGCATTATTTATCTGTAAACACTAATTTTTATTTTATTAAAATATAAATATTATAAAATTATTTTTAAAAATACTTATTCTTTATTTATATTATATATTTCATTTTCTATGTTTTTATAATCATCAGGCAAATCACAATAAACAAGTTTTCCTTTCATTAAATTAATAGCTAATATAGCAAACATTAACCAAATCAAAAATACTACAATTACAACATTCATAATACCAATAACTGATTCTAATAAGGCTGTAACAATTAATTTCATTGATCTATTATGAGAAACAAATCTTAAAGGTCTTAAAGTTCTTAATAATCTTAATATTTCTAAGATATCTATATCTATAGATTCTACACTTATATCAATTAAACTGCTTACAACAATAAAGAAATCCAATTAAGACCATCCTTCTCTTAAATAAGTTTATTAATCTAAAAAAAATCCAAAGGATATTATTTTTAAAATAGCCTCAGTTGTAAAAAAAGCTGTAAATGCAATATTTAACTTTTAGCTAGCATATATATGAAATTAATACTCTGGATTGTGTCTTGGAAAATAAGTATCTGCAACTAATTTAATTGAAGATAAAAATATAGCACTTTAATAAAAATTTAATTTAAAAAATAAATATTTATTGAAAAAAAAAAAAAAAAATATATATATATATATATATATATATATATATATTTATATATATATATACACTAAAATAACATTTTCATATTAAGGATGTTTACATAAACGATAACAAAATCTTCTGAATATATTATTTTTTGAAAAAATAAAAAGTGCATTTTCACACATAATGTTTTCAAAATAAACAAATTAATTTTTTTTTTTTTTATTTTTTTAAAAACTAATATCATTATAATTATTATCTTCATCTTCTTTTTATTATTACATAATTTAAACTTTTTTCATTTACATATTATTTTTTCTTATACTATTATTTATATTATTATTGTTATTATCCTTACCATTAAAGTTTTAACTACCCATATTAAGAGTACTAGATTTTTTTAAACTTAATGCCGAATTTTTAAAATATAAATTTGAATTTGTTGTTTCGTTCATTTATTCATCTAAAATAATATTCTAAGCAACTTCAAATCCCTTCTCATACTCTTCTTTATCATCAATAACTTCATCATTATTAAAAGAGTCCATTACAATTGCCAAAAGCAAATTTAAAAGCACATAATTTCCTATAAAAATCCAACTTACCAAATAAATTAAACTAATGACCATATTAACTGAAGACCTCAAGCACGAAGTTCCTATATCATTCCAATTTTCCATAGTCATAATTTAAAAAACACTCAAGAAAGCGTTCGTAAACGAATCAAAATTCATTCTTTCTTAATATATAAATTATCCTCCAAAAGCCTACATCCCAAGCAATGAGTAAATAAAAATAAATAAAAAAAGCAACAAAAGAATATATATAACCGAGGAAATACTTGAACTAATAGCTGTAATCATAATTTTCATAAACTACAAACTCCTCACTAATCTCGTAACTCTCAAAACTCTAAAAATTCTTAAAATTCTCACCGATCTAAAAACACTAATAGCCGACTAACCCTACCCATTTAAAACAACTAATTCCACTAAAGATAGAGTTACAATTATTGCGTCAAAAATATTCATTTTATCCATTAAATACTCATTAAATTTTTACCCATATAACTTTAATCCCATATCTATAGCGAAAATAATTGTAAAGGAAAAATTAAATTTTTGAATTATTTTTTCACCTTCTTCATCTAAATATCCGTCTAAAGTTAAAACTAAAGTATTCATAACTACACATAACATTATCATATTATCAAAGTATTTTGATAAAACAAAACTCTTTACAATCCTTCTTGAAGCCTTTATTATTCCAGAAATCCCTCCCTCATATTATTCTACGTCATTTGGTTTATGAATTAACGAAGTAAGAATATTTTATAAAGAATGCTGAGTTTTTGAATTACGGCTATAGTACAAAATCTCTTCCAAAGACCATGGAATATCTAAAATATGTGCTTATGTACTTTTTTTTTTACTATCTATATTATTAAGTTGTTATTATATTATTTCCTAGTAGCTTTTTTCTATGGGCTTTTCTAAAAAAGAATCATCTTCTATATTTTAAATTTATTCAATTGCTTGTATATTTTATTCTTTAATTTTCATATGAGTTATTTCTTAATCATTATTATTTTTTTTATCTATATGTATTTTATCCTCACTGGGGAATATATAATCTAAAACTTTCTACAAATTCCATTAAAAAACCGGATTATTCCCTGAAATTTATTTTTTCCCTTTTTTTCCTCTGTCGAAGCTACTTGCTTACTCGGAATTTTCATTGATATTATTGTGAAAAACATTCATTTAATGATTTTTTAACGATTTAGAATAAGAGTTTTTTAATTGTTTTGAAACAGAGTTAATATCTTCTAAAGTATTAAAATAATTTTCGATAATATTATCATTGGAAGGCCTTTTTTTTCTAATAAAATGTTCGTTATTTTGTGATAAAGATTTATTGCTCTGACTACGTATAAATTGTTTATTTTCTTCGAATTAATTTAAATAATTATTATTTTTCGAAAAAATTTATTTCATTAAATCACTATTTTATTAAAAAGGTATTATACGCTTTTTTAAGTCTTTATGTTTAATAGTTAATTATCTCTAGTATCTCTTTTGGACTTAAATTTGATAATTTTTAGTCCTACCCTATTAATAATTAATTATAAATTTTGCATTTTTCATCTTAATAGCTTACATTTATAGTTATTGTTCGTTAAATTTTTATTTTTTTTTCGGTAAAACATCATTTTCATCATATTCTTTTAAATCGTTATAAATTACACGAGCTTTCATTAATTTAGGGTTAAATTTATCTGTGAAATTTTCATTTTCTTAATCATCTTAATCATCACTACTTTCATATTTTAAAATTCCATTAATAAAATTATTATCAGAATTTTCATAATTATTTATATAATTTTATCCTAATACTGTTTTATTAATTCTACGATCCTCCATTCTTTTTAATTTTGGTGTTTTTTCATGTAATTCTATATTCTGATTTTCGTTTACTTTCGTTTATTGAGTTTTTATAATTTTATTTAATTTCTAAGGAGATTTCAGTATATAATTTTATTCAAGACCTTTATCATCAATTTATATTTATTTATGTTCAGCTTCTATATTTTCTGAAAAAAAAGATATTTTATCAGTATCATTAACTTTCTATTACTAAACTTCATAATAATTAATTTTATTACTAGTAATATTATTAAAACTATTAATACTATTAATATTATTACTACTACTTATATTATTATTAGCATCATTATTTTAATCAAAAATATTTACTATTGTTTTTTATCGGGGTGAGCTTAACATATTTCTAAAATCTATGTTATTATTGAAATAATAACCTTAATTTTATTAATTACTTCCAATTTATTAACCTGTTTATTCATATTATTAAATATTCTTTTCGAGTTCTTATAAGAATTAATTTTCATTAGAAGTATCACAAATTACTTAAGAATTCATAAAAAAATTATTTAAACAATTTTTTTTTTGTTTTAATTGAAAATTTGCTTCTTTTTTTTCTTATAAATATATAAGTGAAGGTTAGTTTTTTAGAATTTTTTTGGAATTTACAAATTCTTTAGCATTTTCAAAATTATTCATTGTGAATTATTTTTTTTGTATTATTTAGGATGATCTAACTTTTTTAAATAACAATTAGTTTTCTTTACTTATAAAACTGTTTCTTAAACTTGGTCTTTTTGAAGATTCTAATCCAATTTATATACCTATTATTTTTATTTATTTATTAAAAATTATAAATATTTATACTTTCTCTTTTATTTTTAGTATTTTAAAATTATATAATTTCAGATTTTTTAGTTTATTCACTTCTTCTTATGTTATTATTATTATTATTATTATTATTATTATTATTATTATTATTATTATTATTATTATTAATTTGATTTTCATTACAATTATTTTAAATTTTAGGCTAAACTTTAGCTAAAGAGCTTTTAGAATTTTATATCATAAATTTTGTTTTTATTAAATTTCTCGAAGTATTTTCATTTTTATTTTCCGGAGTACTTATTTGAATGCTATTTACATGATTTTTTTCAATTTCTTCTTTAATTTTAATATCTTACAAATTATTATTTATTTCCTCTTCTTCTTCTTATTATTATTATTATTGTTATTGTTATTATTATTTTTATTTTTATATTTATTATTCATTTTTTTCAGTTATTACTTTTTGATTATTTTCTTGTTTTTATTTTTTTCTTTTAGAATCTGAAATTATTAATTTTAAAAAAAATCTAAAAAATCTTTAAATTTCCTCAAAAAATTAACTTTTTTTTTAATATTAAGGTAATAATTTAACATTAAGATTTTTATTCTTAATATTTTTATAAACTTATTTGTTTGAAATATAAGCTCCTTTTTTAATAAAACATTTAAGATTATATCCTATTTCATTTTTATTTTACAAAATAACATTCTAAACAGTATTTTTTTAAGCTTAATTATATTTAACAGTAATAATAGCCAAAGTAAGATTCATTAAAAAAAAAGCCCCAATAAAAATCGTAAAGAGAAAATAAGGAAAAACCCATATCTATTTTTTTTTTAAAAAAGTAAAAAATAAATAAATAAAAACCTTAAAAATAAAAAAAAAAATACAGAAAAAGTTTATTAAACTCCCTTCATAATAGTAAACCATCCCTCCATAGTAACAATTTAAAAAACAGTTAAAAAAGACCATCCAAAAGTATCAAAATTAAAGATTCCGTAATTTGGATTAGCAATCATTTTCCCACAAATATGCATTCTTGTATGATCATTATATTTATTACAATCATTAGTATTTGCACAATAACTATACCCATTTAAAATTATATATTATATTCCTGTATATCTATCAATACATCTTTTTTTTAAGGTACCCGAAAAAAGCTATAAACCCCCAATAGCAAATATTATATAGAAAAAAATCAAAATTATAAGTGAATTCTTGAGCAAATTAACAGCACTAAATAAGGCTTCTAATATTTTTCGTAAACTTTTTATCGTTGAAATAGTTCTTAAAGGCCTCAAAACTCTAAAAGATCTCAAAGAGCTTAATTGTATTCCAGATTCAGTTGATAAAACATAAGGTAAATAACCGGAAATAACAATTATGAAATCTAAAATATTCCAAGCATCTCTCAAATAAGCCCCTTAATTAAAAATAAAACCTAATCCTATAATTTTCAAAGCCATTTCTATTGAATAAAATATTAGAAGAAAAAAATCTATTTTTTCATGATTGTCATTATTTGTAGTTGGATCATCTAAACATAAAATAATAGAGTTAAAAATAATTGCTACTAATGTCAAGTATTCAAAATAATTACTTTTTATAGTTTTAGATGCAATATTACTAATTAAACTAAATTATTTAAATAAAAAAAAAAAAAATATTATCGTTATATTTTTATTTTTTTACCATTTCATAAACCAGATTTTTTTATATAATATATTAAATATTGTATTTGAAGGAATTGTTTATATTTATTCAAAAATATTCATTTTTATAACATCAATAAAAATTTGTTTTTTTGTATTTTTTCTAACATCTTTATATTAACTAAAATACTCTTAATGAATTTGCTATATATAATTATCATAAGTTTCCTAGCTTTTTATAATATTATGTATATTTTGTTCTTTTTGTTGTTATTCTTCACTCCTATCATCCTCCGAGTCAAATATACATTTCATTCTCCTATAAATATCTTTTTTTATTTGTATTTCCTATTTTATACATATATAAAAATTATTATTTTGAAAATAAAATAAAAAAAACTCTATTTTATTCCGAATTATTAATTAAAAATGATATTGATATGTCATCATTTTCTTATTTAATTGCTGTTTGTTTCCTTTCTGAATTGTTCTAAAGATAATTATCATTTGATTATGAATATAAAGAATTTTTAAAAAATATGTTTTTTAATTTCTCGATTAAGAAACTCGCTATTGAATATAAGGTTTTTTTTTTATTATTTAAATATTAAAAATAAATTATTTAAAAAATATGAATATATATTGTACTGTTCTATTAATTTTCTTTCATTTATGTTACAAAATAATAAAATTATTATCAAATAAATAAGTGAATAAAATTATAAAAAAATTATTCTTTTATTTTACATATAAATAAATATATAAAATTTTATTTATTTGTTTAAAAATAATCATTTATATACAAATTTATATACAAAAAATAAAGTTAACTAATATAAAAGAAAAATAAATATAAATTATAAAAAAATGGAATTATGTAATCACTTTACAAAAGTAAAAAAATATATTTTTTTTTATAAAATAAAATTAAATTTTTATATGAAAAAAGGTAAAAATTGATTTAACAAAATAATTAATTCAATAAAAAAGAAGATTTAATTTATGTGATTATTATTTAAATCATTAAAAAACTTAAGATACCTAATCGGATATATACATTTGCTTAGATTGTGCTTTCTAAAGCTGTTCACTCTTTTCTTCATAAGAATGTTCTTTGAAACATTTTTAAGAATAAAAACATAAAATAGCAATAAATATAAATAATATGATGATATATTGCTTTTAATGTAATTCTGATTTATAAGAATAGATTGATGAAGCTTAAAATACCTAAAATTAAAAATTAAAATAAAATATTTAAAAACTATAATCATTTATTTAAAAACAAAATAAATATTTTTTGACATTCATAATTAATTATAATAATAAAATATTGAATAAAAAAATTAATAAAAATAAACATAAAAAATATTATATCTTTTTCTATTTTTGGTTTAAAAAATTTAGGAAACACATGTTTTTTTAATTCTGTTATTTAAGTATAAAAAATAATAAATAAATATTTATATAAATATTAAATAAATAAATATTTATATAAATATTTTTATATTTATATATATTTATATATTTTTTTATTTAATAAAAAATACAGTGTTTGAATGGAACTGAATTATTAATTTTAGAATATTTAAATACTAACAAAATCGATTATTAAAAAGAAATTTAAATATAAGAAATTTCTAATGAATTAAAAGCAGATTAATAAGATGAATGGAATTGTGTGTAAACGAAAAAGGAAAAAATATTAGACTTTATGATTATAATAAAAATAACCCAATTAATTAAATCGAAGATATATATAAAATAAATAAAACTTATCAATAATTCGTATAAGAAACTAGAAATACAAAAAATCAGGTTATTAATCCTTTTTAAATTTATAATTCTATTGCTTAAATTTTTTAAATATTCAAATCTTTTGAATAATAAGATGCATAGGAATTATTAAGATGCTTATTAGATAGTTTACGTGAAGGAGAAAAAAATTGAATAAAATAAATAAAAATATACCTAACATAATACTAATATAGAATAAATATTTGGATCTTATTTATCTAATTATAGTATTATTTTATTATAATTATTTAAAAAAAATAATAAAAATATATACTTATAATAAAACAAAAGTTAAATATTTAAATTGTTAAAATATTAATCGAACATTTGAATTTATTTTAGACTTGTCAATATAATTAAATAACGAAAATATTTAATAATAGAAAAATTATATTCCTTTAAATACAATTGATTTTCTTCAGGAATAAAATGAAGAATAAAAGTAAAAAAATTAACATTAGATTAATTTTTAATAGTCTAGAGAAGTTTCTTATTAAAAAATCGAAGAATAAAACTTACAAAATATTAATATTCCTAATTTTGATATTAAAAAAGATTAACTATATCAGCCTAACTTAAAAATTAAAAATAAAGTTACATATTAAATAAAAAAAATTTAATGTCTATTAGATGATTTTTTTGCTGTTGAAAAATTTGATAAATAAAACAATTAATATAAATGCGAAAAATGCGGATAAAAATGTATTTTCTTTCATAAATATTATTATTTATTTAGTTTTTTTTCATATTTAAAAAAATATAGCTTAAATTGAAAGATAATATTATTTATATGAACCTCCTAAAATATTAACAATAGTATTAAAAAGATTTTAATAAAAAAATGATAAAACATTAATAAAAAATGTTAATTAAGTTGATATATGTGAATAAATAAGTATTAATGAATACAGTTTAATAAAATGTATTAACTTTTAAAAATATATATATATATATATATATATAATTTACATATTTTGTTTTATTTTTATAGTAAATTAATAGTAAGATAATAATTTAATTAAATAGTATAATTATAAATTATATGCTAATATTTGTCATTCTGGATCTATTAATTAAGGACATTATACTGCCTATGTTAAACATTATAAAGAGTATTTTTTATATTATTAAAAAAATTTTAAAAAATATATAGTGGTAAATATTAATGGTATTATTATAATGATGAGAAATATGAAGAAAGTGATATATAAAGTGTAAAATAACCTTCAAATAGTTACATATTATTTTACAAATTAGAAGATGATAACAAAAATAGTAAATGATTTATAATTTTAATTAAATTTATATTTATAATTTATTATTTTAATAATAGTTAAATATTAATTAATTTAAAAATTATATTATTTTTTATTTATATATTAAATATTCAAATTATTATTTACTATTATTTATTTTTAATATTTACTTCTTTTAATAGTTTTTTAGATTTTTTTTTTTTTTTCTTATTAATATGAAAGTAATGAATTCTTATTATCAAAATTAAAATTTTTATTAACTTATTTAAATTTATTAAAATTTTATATATGTATACATATATACATTCTATATTTTAATATAATAACAGTTTTATAATTAAACATAAATAAATATAAAAAAAAAAATATAAACATATTAGTAAAAAATACTTTATTAACAGAAAATAAAATAAATATTTTTACTTATTTTTTTTATTTAAGAAAAAAAATAATTAATAAATATTTTTCAAATATAAATAATAATATTACTTAATTATATAAATTATTTTTCGAAGTTATATATTTATCATATGTATTTATTTGCTTAAATATATTTGTTATTTAAAAATAAAAAATATTTAAAGACATTAAAATCATAAGGAATATATATTTACTTAAAAAATTAAAATATTTATAAAAATAAAAATAAAATAAAATAAAATAAAAAAATAAAATTAAATAAATGGCGACATTAACAAAAAGTTAATTATTATAATTTGAAAAATATATAACAAATAAAAAAATATAATACATATTTTTTAGATTCGAAAAAGAAGTAAAGCAGAGATTAAGCTAAAGGTCAACACCTCATTAAAGTGAAGAAGCAATTTTATTAAAATGCTTTAAATATTTTGATTTAAATAACAACGGAACAGTAGAATTAGACGAATTCTTGAAAGTAACGGATAAAATTGGATTATAAATATTTTCTAAGCAAGTAAAACAAATTTAAATAAAAGTTAAAATATATATAAATAAATATAATTTAATTTAAAAGGAACTTATAGATATATTTAATTAATATGATAAAAATGGTGATAGAACATTAGATTATAAAGAATTCATATAAATTTTATTTGAAGAAAGAAACTCTAAAACATAAAAGTAATAATAATAAAAAAATTAATAATAATAATAAATGTAATATAAATAAAAATATAAATATTATTATTTATTAATATATATATATATATATATATATATATATATATATATATATATATATATAAATTTATATATAGAAATAATCAATTCAAATCTGAAAATTAGTCTTATTCTTTTTCCAAATTTTAATAGAAATTACTATCAAGAGGTGCAACTGGTATTTTAGGTATTGCAAGATAATTTAGAGTATACAATTTTTAAAAAATATTTTAAATATATAAAATTATATAAGATATTCGATGATGATAATTCTAAGACATTGTGCTTCTCTGAATTCAGAAAAGCAGTACGCGATTTCTAAGTTGATATAACAGATTAATAAATATAAGAGGTATTCGAATATTTCGATAAAGACGGGAACGGTACAATCAACTATGATGAATTTTTATTAAGTATAAGAGGTCCTATGAATCAAATCAGACGTCGTTTAGTCCATTAAGCATTTAATATTTTAGATAAAGACTGTTCCGGAATAGTAGATTTATATGATATAAAGCAAATATATAACGGAAAAATGCACCCTGACGTCAAAAGTGGTAAAAGAACAGAAGAATCCGTCCTTTTGGAATTTATTAACACCTTCGAATCATATACTGGATTTAGAGGAATTAAAGATGGATAAATTACACTAGAAGAATTCGAAGATTATTACTCATTTATAAGTGCTTCTATTGATAGAGATGATTATTTTACTTTAATGATGAATAATGCCTGGAGAATGAATGATGGATAAAATAAAAACTGGGATACGAAAGGTTGGTCCAATTAATAATAATAAGGAGGTGGAAATAGCAATTAAAAAAGTAACAATATTTAAGATGCTTATACTTAGAAATTTAATCGATAATACTAATAACCTAACTCTGCTAAAAAAAAAATGATGATTTTGTCTCTCCACCATCTAATTATAGCTCATCGTCTTCTCATAAATTTGGAGCAGGAGAACAAGATATTAAAAGAACAAAAAATGTATATAATAATAATGAACCTTATAGATAGGTTTAAGATAGTAAATTTTTTTATTTATTTTTTTAATAATATATATATATATATATATATATATATATATATATATATTTAAATATATAAAGAATAATTTATATCCTCAACTACATAAAATGCACCTTTTGGAACTAGTAATATTCCTACAGATTATGGAACAAATTTAAGACCAAATACTGCTTAATAATATTAATAAAATAATAATGATAACTGTAATAATTTAAGACAAGGAGGAGGTATTTAGAAAGGTGGATAATAAGGATAATAATATTTTAATACATTTAGAGCTAAATTACTAGCAAGAGGTACAAGAGGTATTTAATGTTTAGGAAGATTGTTTAGAAACATAGATGATGATAATAGTAAAAGTTTAAGTTTGAGAGAATTTTAGAAATGCTGTAAAGATTTAAGAATGGGATTTAATGAATAAGAAAGTGCAACATTATTTAGATTATTTGATAGAGATGGTTCTGGAGAAATCGATTATAATGAATTCCTTATTTCAGTAGTTGGAGAAATGAATAAATTTAGAAAAGGATTAGTAATGCAAGCTTTTAATAAGCTGGATAAAAATAAAAACGGAACTATAGAAGTAGACGATATTATTGGTGTTTATAATGCTAAATAACATCCTGATGTTAGAAATGGAAAAAAATCCGAAGAAGAAATTCTGGGTGAGTTTTTAGATACTTTTGAATAACATCATGCTGTGGCTGTATTTTTTTACAAATATATATATATATGCTTTAACATTTTTTTTGTTTAAATAAAATTAAAAGTGTGGTGATCAGAGTTTGAGAGATAGATAAGTTTCAACCGATGAATTTATTGAGTATTATAATAATGTTAGTGCATCGATTGATGACGATAAATATTTTGAAGTTATGATTAGAAATGCATGGAAGATTTGAAAATAAATTTTTTATTATTATATTATCTAATCAATTATTTAATATTAAAATATATTATTTTCTTTATTAAATATTATATATAATACATGAATATTTATTTTTTTCGGAAAAAAATTAATATTTTTAATTTTTTGTTTTGTTTTCTATATAAAAATATAATACTCTTTTTCAAAATAATCATATCAAATTTTTACAAATAAAAGTTTTATTTTTAAAATTTTTGTAATAATATTTCAAACAAATATAAACTAAAAATATAAAAGACAATTTAATTTATAGAAATATAATTTTTGAGATATTAAAAAGGCTTTTTTGTTATTATTTATTTATATAACATGAAAAATTAAAAACTAAATAAAAATATTTAAATTGTAAAATTATTAAATATAGTTTATTAAAAAAATGTACAAGATAATAAAATTGTGTCAAATTAATAAAAGACCATAAAAAAAGGATGTTAAAATACATAAAAAAAGAAAATAATAATTAAATTTCTGTATTAATATTTTCTAAAAAAATTTGATATATTTAATATAAGAGATTATTAAATAGAATTAAAATATTAAAAAAGTAAATAAAGTATAAATGTTTTTATATTTTAATATTTATTGGGACATTTTTTAGGTAAATTGATTAATTTATAAGAGAAAGAATTTCGGTATTATTATAAAAAATAAATATTAAAATTTTTGAAAAAGCCAAAAAAAAAAATTCATTTTTAATTATTAAATGTAAATATAAAATAATTAAATAAAAAAAATTTCTTTTAAAAATTAAAAAAAAATATAATATATTATAATATTTTTACACTAAGTGTAATTGCATTTTATAAAATAAAAATTGTTAGCTTTTTATTCAATATATTTTTCATATATGTTTTACAATATTTTAGATATATTATCCTATTTTATTATAATATTTAATAAGGCTTTAAAAATTGAAAATTATTTTTTTCTATATTTTATTATATATATTAAAAATTTTTACAAAAAATAATATTTAGAAAAATTAATTATATTAAAAATTATTTTAAAAAATAAATTAATTATAATATCTTGATAATAAAGTTTAAATCTTTTCTTGGTATATTTAAAAATATACTAAAAATAAAAATTAGAAATCTAATTTTAATATGTAATAAATATATGTGTTTTAATTTTATAATTTAATAAAAATATTATTATAAAATAATTTATTAATTATATTAATAAATAAATAAATATATTAAAATTAAAATCATAATATAATAATTAAAATTAGTAAGATAATGATAAAATAGAAAAAATATATAAAAAATTAAAATATATATATAAATTTATAAATAATATATATATATTTACATATTTATATATATATGTATTATATTTATTATTAATTTTGCATAATTTTATATTTATACAATTTTAATTAACAAATTATTTATATATTTATCTTTATTTTAATTAACATTATAAGCATTTTTTTTATATTAAAAAACATTTATTTAAATTTAATATTTATGTAATATATTTTTTTTTATTATTAATTCTCTAATTTTATATATTTATGTTTTTGATATATTTTCTTAAGCTTTTTTAAAAATAATTAATTATAATATTAATAATTTTTTTTTTTATTATTATTTTATAATTTTTCGTGAATAATTTAGTTTATTATTCCTAACAATTTTTTTGTTTGTTTTTAATATTAATAATTTTTAAAATATATTTATCTGATAAAAAGTATTTATTAAAAAATATAAAAAGAATAAAAAAAAAAATGGGAAATTAGTGTGGTTGTGTTGTAGATAAAAATGTTGAAAATTAAACTTAAATTGTATAAAAATTTAATATATGTACATTTAAAAAAAAACATATTAACATTAAAATAATAATTAACAAAGGAATCTGAAAAACACATTTCAGATAAAAAACATATATATATTGTATAAGATTAATCAGAAAAATCGTAAGAATTAACATAATAAGTAACTTAATTTTGAAATTTTATGAAAAGAAATAAAATTTAATAAAAAAAGGAAAAAATGAAATAAATAACTTGCAATAAGTAATAAAATGATCAGTCATAGTAATAAACTAGCTAAAATTTTAAATATAAAGAAAACTAAGTCCCATTATTAAGCGATAAAAGTAGCTAAAAAAATGATTAAAAATACGAAGCGCATACATACGGAGGAAACTAACAACAATAATAGCAAGATGTTTCTAATTAAAAATAATTAAATAATCGATCCTCAATAGAAGATGATATAGCCCAAAAATAAAAAGTGGACACAAATTAAGAATTAATGAGTGAAAAAAAAGTTCAAAATTAAAATTATTTTGATGAAATAGAAAAGATATCTGAATGTATTTTTTTATATTATTTTTAAAAATAAACTAAATAAAAAGATAGTCTTGGTTAAAACTTCGAAAAAAGAGAAAAAAGACCTGCTTATACATTTAAGAGTTAAGCCGTTTATGACGGAGAATGGAAAGGTAATATGAGAGACGGATACGGTGTATAGAAATGGATAGATGGTGCAAAATATGAAGGAGAATGGGTAAATAATAAAGCCTGCGGAAAAGGAAAATTTTATCATGTAGATGGTGATATATTTGAAGGTTAATGGGAAAATGATAAAGCGAATGGATATGGAATATATTATCATACAAACGGGGCTAAATATCAAGGAGAATGGAAAAACGATTTATAGCATGGAAATGGAATAGAAACATGGAATGACGGGTCTATTTTTGAAGGAACTTATGAATTTGGGAAAAACAAGGGAAAGGAATATATAAATGGGCTGATGGGTATTTTATATCCATTAAATTAATTATATTTTTATTTAGATCTTATTATGATGGGATATGGAATAATAATAAAATAAGTGGATTTGTATTTTTTTAAAAAGAGAATAATAATTTAATATAATTAAAAAAAAAGGGAACTTATTAATGGTAAGATGGAAGATAATATAAAGGAGAATGGCTTGATAATAAAATGCATGGAAAAGGTATTTATTCTTGGAAAGATGGAAGAAAATATGAAGGTGATTATTTAAATGATAAAAAAAATGTGAGTCTATTATATGTTTATTTTGATTAATTATTATTTCTAAAAAATAAAATAAAAAGGGACATGGTGTCTATAAATGGGCTGATGGTAGATTATATGATGGAGAATGGAAAAATGGAAAATAACATGGATAAGGAAAATATTATTTAACTGATGGAACTTTTATGCTTGGAATATGGGAAAATGGTAAAAGAATTAAATGGTTAGATGATAATAATTAAGAAGAAATAATAGGTGAATAATAAATTTAAATACAGATAAAAAATTTCATAAATAAATAAATGGTTAATATATAAATATTTTATGTAATATAAATATTAAATTAAAATAAATATATATTAGTCAAAAACTAATATTAATATACTAATTAATATAATATTAGTTGAAATTAAAAAAAAATATTTATTAATTGATTATTAATATAATATAGTAAAGTAAAGTATTAATAAATAAATTATAAATTATGAATTAAAGTAAAATATAAAAAAATATATATATATTATTAAATTAGGGTTTAATAAAATTAAAAATTAAAAATAATATTTCAAATTAAATAATTATTTAAAAAACCTTAATTAAATGAAAATTAAAGATATTTTTTGTTATAAAACTATTTTAATAATTACTACTTATTTAAATTATTAATTTTCAAATTAAAATGATATAATGAAAAAATATTATAAATTATATTATAAAAATAAATATATAATTATATTATATATAAAATATAAATATATAATATATATAATATATATCTTTTATTTATTTTAGATAATATAATATTAACAATATTGATACAATACCAATTATAATAATTATAAATAAATAAATTATTTTAAATTAATATTAAAATTTATTAAATCATTTTCTATATGCTAAATAATATATATTTTTTTAATTTTAAAAACATGCTTAAATACATTCATAATTTACCATTTACAAATATTTAAAAAATATAAAATAAACATTTAAATAATAAATTCTCTATTAAAAAAAATACTCATAAAACAAGTTTAAAAATAAAAATAGCTAATTTTAAATATAAAATTTCCAACTACTGTTATAACGTTTACATTTTTTATTAGTAGATTTTTTATAGAATTTATTATGTTACATATTATAGCAATATCTTATATATAGAAAATTTAACTATAGATTTTTCATATTTTTCTGAAACTTTTTATTTAATATAATCATTAACATAAATAAACATAAATAAGCATTATAAAAATAAAATCTATTATTTGAATTTGAATAAAATCCATATACAAAATTAGTTATATAATTTCTATTTTCAGGAAAATATAATATTCATACTGGCAAATTAATATTATCTCTAATTACTGGATGTTTACATAGTTTGTACTCTTATGCACAAATTGAAAATATTCATAAAAATAAATTTTCATATGTTGCATTTTCTGATAAATTTTACACAATCATTTATTGTTAAAAAGTTACTACTAGAAAAATTAATGTATTTAATTGGAAAATTTATACATATAATTTTTTTTTATTTTATACAACACAAATATATGAATTAACAAATTTATAATTTTACAAAAAATAATTTATTTTAATAGATTTTTTTAAAAAAATACATAAACAAATATTTAAATTTTTTTATACAAAAAAGAGTAAACATTATATTAATATATTAAAAAAAATACTGAAAATTTGATTTATTTTCCATATTTTTAAATATTATTTATCAATCTAAATAAAAAAATATATTGATTTTTCTTAAAAAATAATTAATTATAAATATAAATCAAGCAAACTGCTTATTTTAGAGCAAAATTTTTTTTATTAAATAATATATTTTTTTTATTTATATTTAAATATTATACTAAATTTGATATTCTCTAAAATAAAGCAACATATGAATTTTTAAAAATCTCTATTAAGAATATTATTTTATTTAGTATATAAAAACATTACATTGTTTTTATTATTTAATTTTATATTTTAAAAATTTTTTAAAATATGTTTATCAAACATAGTGCATTATTTAAAAAGTTTAAGCGAATATATAAATAAAACTAAAATATAAATTATTTTTTTTAAAAAAAAATTGATTTATATTCATTACATTATATTTTTTTTTTTTTAGTTATTAAAAATAAAATATAAAAATTTATAAATTATTAAAATAAAGATAAAATATTATATTCAATTGAAAAAGGTTATTAATGAAGATAATTTATTTTTTCTATTACTAAACGACTTGTACAAAAAAAAAAAATTAATTTAAAAAATATTTTTCTTTATAAAATTCATTTTTTATTTGATAATGTTTTTATTTTATGTTATAGTATTAAATCAATAAAAAAATATAATAGTTTTTTATACTTAAATTATAATAAATAAATTAAAATTTATCAAATTATCTTTAATAAAAAATATTATATTTGAAATAAATAAATATAAGATATATTAAATTTTAATATATATTTGCATTTATAAAATAAAATACATAAATAATAAAAAAATAATGGAAAAATTACTTTTAGAAGAAGAAGAAGGCCTTCTATAAGAATTCTAAAATGCTTTTGAAATTTAAAAATATGAAAAATAATAAAGAATCCTTTCGTTTAATGATGGAATAGTCGATTTTACAATAGAAGACAAAGGTTTATCATCGAAGATAAAATTAACATTAGAAGATAATAAAAAGACAAATATATTATATAATTATTCCCATTATCATTCTATGCATAACGAGTATTTTTTTAAAGATTTCAATAAAAAAGATAGTGATGAATTAAAAAAAGAAATTGAAAATATAATAATAGAACATGATTATTAAAAAGCTTGTGAAAATTTAAATGAGTAATAAATATAAAAAGAAGTTTAAAATTCAGCTAAAAATAACTATTTGAATGAATTTGTTATTTTTTTAAAAAATTAGTTGGTTTGTACTTTTAACTTTGATATTTTAACAAACGAATTTTAATATTCCAATTAGCAATTAATAAATGAAAACTTCAAAAAATTCTCTTCTGAAGGAATTTCTGGATAAATACATAAAATAGACGAAAAAAATCAACAAGAAGACGAAAATACATCGCAAACAATCTTTTAAAAATATGAAAATGAAAAAAATATAGAAGAAGATTTCTTACATTTAGAAAGTTAAGTTTCTCATTTCGAGGAAAATAAAGAACCTATTTAGCCTGATTTAGTCGAAAAAATCAACAATTAATTAAATTTAACTCAACAAAATTAAATTATTAATCCAGAAGTCATTTTCAAAACAATCTAAAGCAACTTTGAGTCCAATATTTAAAAAAAACAAAGAATAAATCTCGTTTATAAAGGAAAAGATTTCGATTCTATTCTTATGGATGCCGATAAGCGTATAAACTAATAAAAAGCAATTCTAAACTTATAAGAATAGTAATAAAATCAACTAGATGATGAATATGAAGATGATGAAGAAGAAGAGGAACCATTAAAAAAATTCGAATTAATAAAGTAAATACAAAAAAAAAAATATAAAAAATAAAAAAAATAGATTGCAAGATACCACCTAAAGAACAACAAGTAAAAATTACTAATTTGCCATAGAAGATGTTTAAGACATAATTTTATTTTATGACCGACTTCCAAAATAAAGAATGGCAATTAAATTCGATTTTGAGCTTGATAATTTCCAAAAGCGAGCTATTTTACGTCTTGAAGAAAACGAGAGTGTATTCGTCTGTGCCCACACTTCTGCTGGTAAAACTGTAGTAGCCGAATATGCTATAGCCTTAGCTAAAAAAAATAAACGCAAAGCAATATATACATCCCCTATAAAGGCTTTATCTAATTAAAAGTATAGAGACTTTAAACTAAAATTTGGATAAGATGTTGGAATAGTAACCGGTGATGTTTCCCTAAACCCAACCGCAAGTTGTTTAATAGTAACAACTGAAGTTTTAAGAAATATGCTTTATAAAGGACATGATATAATAAGGGATATTTCCTGGGTTATTTTCGACGAAGTACATTATGTGAATAACCAAGATAGAGGTGTTGTATGGGAAGAAACAATTATTATGCTGCCAGAAAGTATAGGATTAGTCATGTTAAGTGCAACAGCGCCGAATTATATGGATTTTGCAGATTGGGTAGGCAGAACGAAAAAAAAGAACATTTTTGTACAAAAAACTACTTTTAGACCCGTTCCATTGGAACATAGTATTTATGTTAACGAGAAATTTCATTTAGTCAAAAGCAGAAATGAGGCTCTTGATGAAAAATCTTATTATAATATTAAAAAAGAATTAGAATAAATCGATAATTAGAGAAAAAATGTAAAGTTTAATAAAGGATAGATGTTAGCTTAAAAAAAAGAGAAGGATATTTATAAAAATACTAATTTGTCATAAAAATCAAAGGCTATGTCGAAAAAATATACTGAAATGTATATTAAAAAAACTAGTAAAGTTAATGTAGGAGGAGGGTAGAAAACAGAAGCTTAATAAATGAAAAAATTACTTAAATATTGCGAAAAAACCAAATTATTACCATGTGTTGTTTTTGTTTTTTCAAAAAATAAAATTAAAGAACTTTCAGAAAGTTTAAAAAATATATCTTTTTGTTCTTTAGAAGAAAGAGTATTAAAACATTATTATTTAATATATATAAATATAATTTTATTATTATTATTATTATTATTATTTTATTATTATTATTATTATTATTATTATTATTATAGAGAAAAATAGAAGAATTTTTTAATAAATTTTCTCGTAATATAAAATCATAAGATTTAAAAGTTTAATAAATCTAAACTATAAAAACACTCATGATGTGTGGTATAGGAGTTCATCATGGTGATGTTATTCCCTTCGTTAAGGAAATAGTCGAAATTCTTTTCTCTGAAGGCTTAATTAAAGTTCTATTTGCAACCGAAACATTTGCTATGGGTATAAATATGCCTACAAAAACTGCTATTTTCCATTCAATATCTAAGCATGATGGATAAGGTCGCCGTATTTTAAATTCTTCTGAATATACATAAATGAGTGGAAGAGCAGGTCGAAGAGGCCTAGATGAATAAGGAAACTGTATAATTTTTATAGCAGAAGGTAGACAATTACCGTCAAAATTAGACTTGAAATTAATGATGGATTCCAAAGGTGAAGTCTTATAGTCTAAATTTAAGATTTCTTATGAAATTATATTAAAACTTCTAACTTCTTAGGAAATAAACGTTACCGACATGATGAAAAAAAGCTATTTAGAAAATTCCAAACACGCTAATTTATCGCAAAATGTTAACAAAATAAAAGACTTGAAATAAGATTTGATTTAACTAGATAAAATTACCTGTGAATTTAAACTTCCGACCGAAAAAGAAATTCCTTTATTTGAATTTGTAAGATCAGGTTAAGATTTATTGAAGAATGCTCCTCTATTTTGGTAAAAAGATGTTTAATATTTCCAAAAAAATATTTTAATACCCTCTTTTTGCCTACTTTTGGACAATAAATTGAATAAATACTTATCTTTAATAGTTGATATTGATAATAATAGAAATAATAAAAAATTTCTTAAATGTCTTATTAATAGACATATAAATGAAAAAAATGTACCGTCTTTTGATTCCGAAGAAGACAAAAATAAAGGATATAGAGAGTTTCCTACTTATATTGTTAATTTTGATAGATAGGATTATACATGCGAAATATTTTCTGTTTCAATTGATTTTGCTTTAAAAATTTATTTTGATAATCCTAATATTAAAGAAGGTGATCCAAGAAATAGAATTTATATAGAAAAATGCGCTTATATTTTATATAAGAAAGAATAAGAGTAATAAGCTTTAGTTCATATATAGGATATGAAAAATAAAAATAATTAATAATTTAATAAACAATTATAATAATAATTTAAAAAGCCTTAATAATCAAATAATAAAAATTAATTTTAGGAAATGTAATTTTAAGGAGTAAATTAAGAATATTTGCTTTTAAGAAATTAAAACTTAGAAATTTATGAAAACTCAACATGTTCCCAATGTTTTCTAAAAGAAAAACACGTCTAACAATATTTAAACAAAAATAAAATAAACTCATAACTAGAGGAACTTTTTAAAAACATAGATGATGAAGAAATCACACAACTTTAAAGTTTCCGAGGAAAACTTAAAGTTTTACAAAAATTAAATTATACAGATAATGAAAATCTCCCTCTATTAAAAGCTAGGGTGGCAAAAGAAATAGAATTAATATATGTTTGTGAGCTTTTAGTCCAAGGAATTTTCGATTAACTCACAGAACCGGAATTAGCCTCACTTCTAAGTTGCTTTATATGCCAAAGTAAACCTAAAATGGGGGCAGAGAGATATGATCTATTAACTGATTACGATAATGGATTTGGTTATGATGAGTTCTTTATTGAAAAATATGAATAGTCGATTACTATACTGAAAGATATCATAAATACTGAAATTGAAAATGGGGTTGTTATAGCAGCTTCGGAAGATGATTATTTATAAGAAGTTTTTAATCCTGAATTATCAAAAGTAGTCTATGAATGGATGAAAGGGAAAGATTTTTTCACTATTTGTTAGTTGACCGAAGTATAGGAAGGTAGCATTATTAGATGCCTGGTTAGATTAGAAAATTTAATGAAAAATTTAAAAAATGCAGCTATTTTATTAGGAAATAATTAACTATGTATGAAAATTGAATAGGCTTAAGATATAATGAAAAGAGATATTGTTTTCTCATAAAGTTTATATTTAATTGAAAATTGATATTATTTTTTAATTTATTTTATAATAAAATTTAAAATTAATAAAAAAATTAAATTTTTTATAAAAAAATATATTTTAATCATTATTATTTATACTAATTATTATTTATATTAAAATAATTGTATATAATTTAATAAACAAAAAAAATATATTAATTAAAAATTAATAAATATTTATTAAATTTGTTAAATAAATAAAAATAAAATATTTTATTATATTTAAAAAAAAAAAAATTAATATTTCATTATTTATATTTTATTTGTAATAGTTTTTATTTTTTATATATATTATTATTATTAATTTTTTTTTTTAATTTTAATATTTTTATCATTATTATTAATATGAAAAGATAATTATTTTATATAAGAATTTTATTTATAAATTTTATATTTATTTTATTATAATATTTTTATAAAAAATATTTATATAATATTTTGTGTTTAATTTTTATTTAATTGTTATTTATTAAATTATTATTTTTTATATTATATTTTTTTTACTTTTTATATATATTACTTTAATATATTATATACATTTATTGTTATTCTTTATTATTATTTAATTCCTCATAAGAATACTAATTATATAAAGAATTATATTTAATATATATTTTCTTTTTATATAATTATAATAAATATTTTTCCTCTTATATTTATCTATTTTTTTAAAATATTTTCACTTATTAAAATATTTTTTAATTATATTACTAATCTTTTCTTATTCGGTTTATTACTTATGAAAAAACTATGCTCAGAAACATAACTTTTAATTTTTTTTTTTATTCATTTTTATCAAATATTTTTTTTCATATATTAAATTTTTTTTTTTCATATTTTAAATTTATTATTTCATATTTTCAATTTATATTGTCTTCTCTATCTTATTTAAAAAGGTATGATTTTTTTTTTAATAAATTCATATTTATTATTAAACTAACCATGATTATTTATTTTTCTTTAATATCTCAAATTTTTACTTCCTTTATTTTAAAATTTTTCAAATATATAATTTTTTTTGTTTATCTATTTTATATTTATAAATATCACTAAATTCTATTTTATACATTGGCTTAAAAACTCATTTTTTTTTCGATAGTTAAGCCCGATTTTTATATTTATGTAATATTTTATTGGTTTTTCGTTTTAAAATTATAAATAATGATGATATGTAATTTATTATATTAATCTATTTCTAATATAATTATGGTATTTAAGAAAATTTCATTTATTCTTACTTGATAATTTAAGACTTATAAATATATAATATATCTAATTTAAAAATAAATATATTATTTTATATTTTTAAGTAAAACATAAAAATTTTTTTTTCATTAAAATAAAATAATTATTTTTTAATAGAGATAAATTAATAATGTTATAAAATATATAATTTTAAATGTAAAATATAAATATAAGAAAACATCAAAAACATATTTAATATTAATTTGTTTTTTTAAAAAAATATCTTTTGTCGATTTTTTTTTATTTAAATCTAAACTATCCATGTTTATAACCCATAATTAAATCTTTTCATCTACAATAACTCACTAAAATTAAATTCATTAATAATCTAATCAATATTTTTTGCTTCACTAATTTACTTTTCAATAATATGTCCAAAAACTCTTTTTTCGACTGAAAAAGGTCTCTATTTAATTAAATTTTATCCTTAATACTTGATAATAGAATTAAGACCCATCCAAAGCAAGAAATTTCATTAATAATTTCTAAAAAGAAACAAAATAAAACTAAAACTCAATATAAAAATTTTATTATAATATTTTAAATCATCAATAAGTTCTTTCTTCAATTTATTCTAGTATAAAATAAAATTAAAAATTTACTGAGTAATATACTCCCCAATTACCACAGAGAAATGTTTCGAATTTCCATAAGTAATATTACTGATATAATGTATTAATGTAAATTATTTAATTTCAATATATTTAATTATATTAACTCCCAATTAATTTAACTAATTTTTTCTCCATTTTTAAATTAAAATGCTTATTCTATTATCTATGATCTTAAATTAATCATAATATATGCGTTAATTGAAAAATTAATTTATTTAGTTATTTTAATTTTTCTTAGTTTATAGTTTAATTTTTTATAATATACGAAGTATAATTTTGTATCAAACATTGATTTTTGCATTTTTAAAATATTTCAGAATATATATATGTATCTATTGAATTTATATATAAATTGTAACATTTTAAATTGAATATTTATATTTATTTCTAAGTTTTATTTAATTAAATAAATCAAAATTAATAATATTTAAAAAAAAAAAAATTGTTATTGCTATTATTATTAAATTTAATTTTTTTGAATTTTAAACAAATATTCATATAAAAAGAAAATTATTTATTTACATCTTAATTTTAATTTTGTTAAAATTTCTTTATGTATTAATGCATTTTTTTTTACTTAATTTATTAAAATAATATTAATAATAAAAATAAAAATACTAATAAATAATTTAAAAAATATATAGAATCTAATAAAAAAAATAAAATATCTTTTAAAATTTTAATTAATTAATTAATATAATAAAAAACTCACAAATCAAGAAAATATTTATAAAATAAAACAAAAAAATCATATAGAAAAAAAAAAAATTTATTTAAACTTAAATAAAATATAAAACAATGTTATCAAAAAACATCAATAACCTCATCAAAAATATACCTAGATTTTACTTTTCATAAGTAAATAATTTTCTTAAAATTCAAAAAAAAAAAAAACACAAAGGGTTTTAGATTAGAATACGACTCATTTGGTGAAATGAAAGTCCCAAACGATCGTTTGTGGGGGGCCTAAACCTAACGTTCTGTTTAAAACTTCGAAATCTGCTAAGACGTAGACAAAATGCCCAAATCAATAATAAAAGCTTTCGGTATTTTAAAAAAATGTGCTGCTAAAGTAAATAAAGAATACGCATTAGATTCTGAAAAATCAAAATACATCTAAATGGCTGCTGATGAAGTAATTTAAGGTAATATATATATATATAAATATATATAAATATATATATATATATATATATATATTTATATATTTTTTATATACATGTTAAATATTACAAATATATAGGGAAACTAAATGACCATTTTCCACTTGTAATCTGGTAAACTGGTTCTGGTACATAAAGTAATATGAATGCAAATGAAGTAATTGCTAATCGTGCTATACAGCTTATGGGTGGCGAATAAGGGTCCAAAGCAATACATCCAAATGATCATGTAAATATGTCTTAATCTTCAAATGACACATTCCCTTCCGTAATGCATATTGCTACAGTTTTGGAAACCTAATAGACTTTATTACCTGCTTTAGAAGAATTGCTTCATGCTTTAGAGGCTAAAGAAAAGGAGTTTTAAAAAATAATTAAAATCGGTAGAACACATACTTAAGATGCCACCCCTTTGACCTTAGGTTAAGAATTCTCAGGTTATGTGACCTAAATAAGGAACGGAATATAAAGAATTAAAGATAATCTACCTTAGGTTTGCTAATTAGCCCAAGGAGGAACTGCTGTTGGTACTGGTTTAAATACTTACATTGGCTTTGGGGAAAAAATAGCCAATGCAGTCTCTTAAGAAACGGGTTATAAATTCGAAACCGCCCCAAACAAATTCGAAGCCCTCCAATGCAACGATTCTCTCGTTGAATTTTCTGGATCTTTAAATACTTTAGCCTGTTCTTTATTTAAAATTGCTAATGACATCAGATTTTTAGGAAGTGGCCCCAGAAGTGGTCTCGGGGAACTCATATTACCTGAAAACGAACCTGGTTCTTCCATTATGCCTGGTAAAGTTAATCCTACCCAATGTGAATCACTTACAATGTGCTGTGCTTAAGTTATGGGAAATCACGTAGCTGTAACAGTCGGAGGATTAAATGGACATTTCGAATTAAACGTTTTCAGACCAATGATTGCTAGAAATGTTTTACATTCAATTAGGCTTTTAGGAGAAGGTAGTAGGTCTTTTACTAAAAATTGCGTACTAGGTATTAAGGCAGATACTAAAAGAATTGAGCATTTAATGTAATAATCACTTATGCTTGTTACAGCTCTTAATCCTTATATCGGATATGATAAAGCTTCAAAAATTGCAAAAAATGCTCATCATAAAAATTTGACTTTATTATAGTCAGGATTGGAGTTAGGATACTTTACTGAAGAATAGTTTAAATAATGGGTTAAACCTGAAGATATGCTTGGACCTAAGAAATATGTTAAGAAATGAGATTATTTTTATAATAGGAATATTTTTTTATATGTAAGTATTTTATTTTTTATTTATTTAGGCTTTTTTTTATTATAAAGAAAAAAAAAATATATATTTGTTTGCTTTTTTTTCTTTATTTAAAAATAAGAATTTCAAATTTAATTCAATATAAAAAATACAATATATATAAATTTATTCATATATATTTTGTTTCATATATTTCATTAAATTTCTATTATTTATTTAAAAAATCAATTGATAATAATTTTTATGGCCATTTATAAGATTATATTTTATAAATATAAACTATAAAAAAAAAATGATATAAAATTAAAAATAACAAAAAATTTAAAAAATTTAATAATAAGATGAAACAATATATAATTTATATAATTAATACGAAAAAAATATAAGGTAAGCTTAAAGCCTTAATAATAAAATTTAAAAATAAATAATTAATGATTAAAATTCATTACATTTTCCTTTAATAAAATAAAATATTTCTTAAAACAATATTTTTGTAATTTTAAAAAAAATATTGTTTTATAATTTTTTTTCAATAAAAAAGTAAAAAAATTCTCAAGGCTATTTATATGATAAACATCCATATATATGTAATTATTAAGATATTAGTTAAAATGATAAATAAATAAATATAAAGAAATATTTTCCTAATAAATATTTATATTTGCACGAAAAAATAGGTAAAAGATTTTTTTTTTAATTTATATAAAAATAAAATAAAAAGACTTTCTTCATCCAAATTAATAAATGGGAAAACTTAATTAAACACCTAGTGTACTAAAAAAAAGTGTATCACCAGTTTTATTTAAAAAAAAATAACATGATAATAAATAAGATAATATAATAAATAATATGAATTTAATAAATAATTCTAAAAATATAAATAAAAAAATATATTCAAAAATTAAATTTGAATAATAAGAAAAAAAAAATTAAAAGTTAATATATTTGCAAAAATAGAAACATTAATAAAATAATGAAAAAGAAAAATAGTAAAAAAATAATATGTATATAAAAATATAAATAATAAATAAATAATTAAAATTAAAAAATAATATATATTTTATATAAATATATATATATTTATATATTTATATATTTATATATTTATATATTTATATATTTTCATTTATATTTTTGTTTGAATTTTAGATATTAATTATCTTTTGAATAAATTGAGTAGTTACGAAATGATTTAAAATATAAATTGTAGTAATTAAATAATGAATATTAATATATTACATATATTAAAATATTTGATACTGAATGTATGAAAAAGAAAAAATTATATTATGAGAACAAAATAAAAATTATTTAACAAGATATAATTAAATTAGATAAAAATTATATATTTGTAGAAACTGGTAAATGAATATTAAATTTACATTTATTACAATATTAAATATAAAAAAAAATATAATAAATAAAATTAAAAATAGTTATTATATATATATAAATTTTATTATATTATTATATTATATATTTTTTTTATAAATTTATATTTATATATATTATTTATTTATTTTTTTTTAAAAAAAACCTATAATATTTTAATTATTAATATAATAGTTATAATTTTTATTTTTAAACCAAATTCTTTGTATTTATTAAAAACACATAAATATATTCATTAAATAAAAGATATATTAAAAATGGGTTTGTCAATATGTTGTCAAAAAGAAGATAAAACCCTTTCATATTAAAACTAAAAAACTTATAGTTATAGAGCTAAATCAACAGAATTATAATCTTAAAATTTAACATTTCCTTTCTATAATTACCCATAATCGGAATAAATTAATTACAATTCAAAATTAATAGAAGAAATTTTCATAAAAAATACAAAAGAATTAGCTTAAATGCCTTTAATATATTCTAATGAAGATGAAAGAATATACTTTAAATCATAAAATTTAATAAATTTCATATAATTAGAATTTTTAGTCCACACATCAACTGAAAAAATCAGTTAATTAATCTAAAATATCCATAAATATACAAACATAATAAAATAAAATTAAATTATATAAGCAATAGATATAAAAAAGAACGTTCATATACACCAATTATAATACCAAACTGGAAAAATAGAAAAGAAATAAGAAATAGTATTCATATTTTACCAATAAGAAATAAACGACATAATAAATAATTGTTTTTACTCAGTAGAAAATGAGAAAATTACATAGAATAACGATATTGAAAGAGTATAAATAATAAAGGCAGGTCATTCTTTTATAAATATTAATAAATTTCCAAAAACGACAAAAAATAATTTAAATTCAGAAACTAGTTTTAATACAAACAATTTATACTTAAATTAGACAAAATCGAAAGTTGTTTTTTACGCTGAATTAGCTTCTCATAAAATGCAAAATAATAATTTAGTAGAAATGGTTTATTTAACTAAAGCTAAAGAATATATTAATTTATGTAAGTTACTTATTAATAATTTACATTCACATTCATACTCACATTCTGAAGTATCTATTTAAAATATTGATAATAATTAATAAAATTAAATTATATGAAGATTTTTTAATTATTTTGTTTAAATAATAATATATATGTAAAAAAAAAATGTTTATGTATATTTATTTATATATTAAATAATATATTTGATTTTAAAAATTAAATTTATAATAAAATTTTAAATAAAATTTATATTAATATTTTTATTTTATAATTAACTTTATAGTAAAAGCTTATTTAATAATTAATTAAAATTTTTATATTAAAAATAAAAATATTGGTTATAATGAAATTTTATCGTGAAATCAATTACAAATAACTCAATTTTTCAAATTATTTTTATTTTAATTTTATATTAAAATTAAAATAAATGCATTAAAAAAAAATTCTGTTTAAATTATAACCTGAAATTTTAATTTTTTATTTCATATTATCAAATCAAAAATGTAATTTTAGGTAATGATTTTAACTCGATTTTTTTTTATTATAAATTTATTTTATTAATTAAATTTTTAATAAAAAATTAAAATTATAAAATTATAAACAAAAAATGGAGTTCTTTGATTTCACGATAAAATTTCAACATTTACAATATGTAATATTTATTATTATAATAGTATTTATTTAAATTAAATTTAATTTTAGCTTTATAAATATAAAAATAATAATACTTTTCAATAATTTAAAAAGACTTATTATAATTTTATATATTTATAAAATTATATGATAAAAAATTAAATGCTATTAAAAAATAAGTAGATATATTATATAATTAATATATATATATTATATAATTAATTTATATATTTTTTTTTAAAAAAATAATTTTATTTAATTAATAAATAATAAAATTATAAAAAAACTTGATAACCTTATTTATAAAAATAAAAAAGAACAAATAATTTTCAGCCAGTCTTATAAAAAAGTAAGATTAATAATAATTTCTATGCAAAATAAAAATTTTATTAATTTTTTATTTAAAAATAAAATATATTATTTCTATTTTTAAATATAATAATCATATTATTAATTGTATAATATTAATAATTTTATTTTATAAATAATCATATAAAAACTTTCATTAAATAAATTACTGATTTTATGTAATAATATATTAGAAATAATAAAAAGAAAATTAAATATAAAAAAAAAGTATATGAAATTAATTTAAACAAACATATATTTAAATAAAAATATAAATATAATTTTATTAATATACTAAATTATATTTTAATTTAGATTTTAAACTAAACAAATTGAATTCCTTTAAGTGTAAAAATATATATTTTTATCTCTTTAAATTAATATAATTTTAATAAATATTTTTAAAATAAATTAAAAGAAAAGATTTAAACAAAATATAAAATAGTTACTTAAAAAAAAAAAATATATTTAATGATTTAAAATACTAACAAAGAAGCCTAACAAGAAGACTTTATTTAGCATTTTTTATAAAATATATAATTAGATAGCACATAATATGATTTCAAAAAAAAAATTGTATAATGGGTTAGTTGTATTCCAACAAAAACATAATTATAAATAAGTATTGCTTATTATAATAAAAATATAGAATTAAAAGAAAAAGAAAATTTAGTATATTGGGAGGCTTATTAGAATTTATAAATCCCTCCTATAATAATAGAATTTCCAAAATAATTTAATGCTAAAAATCTTACTTTTATATTAAGTTCAGTAGTAGAATACAATCAAAAAATAATACCATAACACCTTATCGGAAACACTAAAATTACTGTATAAAAAGGACATGGTACTAACATTTAATTTAAGGGAATTTAATTTCAAAATAAATAGAAAAACATATTTAAGGTTTCTACATAATTTAAAAAAAATAATGACTTTATATTAAAATAATTATTTTATATATAAAATTTAAATAGAAAAAATTTCAAAGAATAGCTATTTATGTAGTACACAATTACAAATAAAAAAACTAAACAATCGAAGGATTCTATATAAGCTCTCCATTTTAGGTTAAATCTAGAAAAAAATCACATCAAGAAAAAGTATAAATATATAAATTTAAATATATATATATATAAATATATATATATATTTATATATAT